GGCGGGGGTGGGGTGGGGGGGGCAGGTGTGGGGGGGGCGGAGGAGGCACAGCTGGGAACTGGCAGCACTTCTGCCTTTGAAATGTAGCAAGAACAGGACTCTTGTACATTTCAAAAGAAAAGCATGCGTGGGGAGCACAGTGCTAGCAGGGGACTCCAACAGTTCCTCGCTGACCCCCTGCTGCCAGTGCAGGCTTTGCTTTTGAAATGTACCAAAATTCCTGGGGGGTTCTGGTACCTTTCAAAGTAGAGAGCCTGGGGCTGGCAGGGGACTACTTGAGTTCTCCGCTGGCCCAGTGCTCTCTGCAGTGCTTTTGCCTTTAAAATGTAGCAAGATCTGACAGGGCTCTTGCTACATTTCAAAGGTGGGGGTGCCCTTATCAACTAGTCAAATAGTTGACGCAAATTGCATCAATTATTTGATTAGTTGATTAATCTAAATTTAACATCCTTACTCTCTAGCATAGCAAAAAGTGTACAATGGACTAGTTCAGAAAAGGATTTCCTATGGAATGCAGGAGTCCTCAGTAGCAGTTGTTTGAAAGCACCGTTTTCAAGTAACCTCTTTGGGTGTACCTCATAGATCTTTCATTGACCTTCACATCTTCTTTCTTCCCAGATGATACAAGCCCTTTTTGTAACTATTGTATATCTTGAAAATGTATGTTTATATCTGAAGTAAAAGATTAATCTGGAACATTATTATTTACCTTACAGTGTTCCCCTGTGTACCAGAAAGGCCTGGCATGCCTTGTCCAGGAGAAGATAGTAAGTAGACATTTTTGCAAAGGATATACTTTCTGTAAATGGTTATTGCACAGTTATCCCTTAACTCAAGCTTACACTGATTAAAATACTAGCTTTTTATTGTCCTCTTGATGGATAAGCTTTGATACAGAACCTAAGAAATTGAAACTGAAATGTGGCTATTACTCAACAGGCTATCTGGTTTTCTCAAGGGTAGATAGCCATGATGACTAACAGTGCTGCCCCGTCTTACCTGTCCTAGCTGAAATGGTCAGAAATCAAACTACATTTCAGATACCTTTCAGGCTCTCCCCTATGGCTATCTTTCCAAGGACTCTGAAAATGGTATATGTTGCTGAAAATGCTTTACAATTCAGTGAAATAATAGAAGGGGAAATTACTATTATATAGTTATTTCTTCAAGAATACACACTTGGGAATTCCTTGTTATGCTAATTGAAATTACTATTAAGATTGGATTTGCCCAGATAACTTTTGACACCAACGTGTCTTCGCTTCAGTGTGTTGACAGGATTATGCTCTGCTGTCAACTCCCTTTGCATGTCTTGTTCTGGTGCAATACCAGATTTGAGGCAAGAGCGATCAGCAGATTCAAATTGACCCCTACTGGATTAATCGTTGCCCGTCAATCTGGCCAGTAGTGTAGATATACTTTTAGTGTGTATGAAGTGTCCAGGAATCTGTTGATAGTGTAATGTTCACACTTGCATGGATATAATTGTGTTCTATTTTAGAATCCATTTATCGTCGCGGTGCCCGGAGGTGGCGGAAGCTCTATTGTGCAAATGGTCATACTTTCCAAGCTAAGCGATTTAACCGGGTAAGATTTTCTTTAGGTAGTTGAATGGAACATTAAGACCTTGATGCATTGTCCTTCTCTTCTGTAGTTGTTATTACTGCCTCCAAAGATTAAAATATAGGCTTAGTCTAAAGAAACTGGACTTTGCTCTTATATATCAAATACTGCGGTTCCTTTTTATGTAAGTTGTGATAAGTAGAAAGTTATACAGAAGTAACTCAAGTTTCCATTCCTCACTTCAACATTTCTTATTTGTTTATAGTATAAGTAGTTTGAGGGGTTGTTTCTGGGTTTGTTTGGGGTTTTTGTTTTTGTGGTTTTTTTGGTTAGTTACAAGTTAAAAATCAAACAATAGCATTTGGTACTTTGTTGGCCGTGTGATGTAGTAAAATTTGCCACTTGGGCTATTTAAATGTCACACACTTAAATAGATAAATTAAACCCAAATTTGCTGATTTTCTTTCTAATTCCAAGCACACCAAAACAACTTTTATCAACAGTACATAACATCAATATTTTGTTTGCAGTGACTAGATGCCAGCACCAGTTGTTGTTTTGTTTTTTTTTCCATTTTAAGTGGATGTGAGCTGGCAGAGCACTTTGGGTACTAAGCTACCAATAGGCATTCTCAGAGTTTTGATCTCTGGAAGAAACAAGTTTGAGTCACTTGTGTATAGAAAGTTATCTTTGGCTTGTTAGTAAGAACTGAGGTGTTCTGTAGCCAGCCTCCATATGCTGGAGTAGGAGCCATCAAAAAGTAACAAGCATGTATTGTTTGTCTTGTTAACTGTAAGAAATTAATTTTAAGTTCTTTTTTCAGACATGTTTTTAAAATGTTTATCACGGAGCAAGAAAATCTGCAATGTATAACACATAATTGTATAATACAAAGTTTGAATAACCGTGTATCTTCCCCCTTCACCACTGGGCTCATTAAATGCATGAAATTTCTCTCCAACCTCCTCTTTTTTCCATGGAAGCAGCTCTCTTCAGAACCATCCTGTTAGTCTTTAAAGTGCTACATAGTTCCATCTTTTGTTTCAGCTAGCCCAGACTAACACGGCTACATCTCTATTACTATTCTTCAGAGACCTTTGAGTGACCTCTAACTAGCCTAATTCCAGGGCCTCTGGTTGACACTAATCTTTCTAATCAAGATGCAAAAAGGTCACCGTTAACCATTTCTGGAAGTGCTATCCTTCTTTGACTCTTTTGGTCAGCCTCCTCTATGGTTCTGCTGGTCTTAATTTGCGTTGTTAGTGTTATTTTGTGGATTGTTCTTTTCCTTTTTCTCTATTTCGGTATTGCCCAAAGATCAGTCTTCAAGGTCCCCCTCCTGGCTTTGCTCTGGCTTAGGAGTGTGGGGCTGAGAATGATGGATTCAGGGGGCTCTGGGCTTGGACAGGGAATTGTGATGTGGGCTTTGTGTAATAGTTAACTCAGGCAGCTCCTGGAAGCTGCTAGCAGCTCTCTGGCTCCTAAGCAGAGGCACAGCTAGGCGACTCTGCATGCAATCCCTGCCCAAAGGCACTGCCCCATTAGCTCCTGTTGGCTGCTGTTCTCAGCCAGCGAGAGCTGTGGAGCCAGTGCTTAGAGCAGGGGAAGTGCACAGTGCCCCTGTGTATGTTCCTATGCCTAAGAGCCAGAAGCAGATTCCATCAGCTTTCTGGAAGCCACATGAAATTGGTGCAGGCAGTCAACTGGACTTTTAGTGCCCTGTCAGTGGTGCTTTCTGGAATCATTAAAGGTCACTTTTCAACTTGGTAACATTCTGGTTAAAAAAAAATTATGTCTGGCAACTCTATAGGGGAGAAGGAAGTAATTTCTGGAAAGGAATCTGGGAATAAATTTGGAGGTTGGTTGGGTATGAGTGGGAAAAATGGAACAGTTTTTTGAGACCAGGGGGTAGAGGGACTGTTAGGGAGTTGGGGAGTCCTTCCCATTCAGACTCTGGTTGACCCACAGTCTCTCCCATTTAGTTAGGCACATCAGCTCTTGTTCCTGCGTGTCCTCCCTATGTGGCACACTCTCTGTCCTTCTCCCAGATCTCCTCACCTTGCCCTGTAAGCAGAATACTGTGAGAAATGCAGCCTCTCCTCCCTATTGGTTGTTGACTGCTAAAACTGGCTGAACCCGCTTTCCCCTGCTACCGTCTCACAGCAGCCCCTATTGGACAAAATATATAACAGCTCCTCTCTGGCAGAATGTATTTTCTGCAGAGAAAAGAAAAATCTTTAGGGGATATGGATTCTGTGCAGGTCGTAGTGGTGCAAAATTGCCCCACAAGTACAACTTGTTTCCTCTTGTCATGTAATTTAGAAATGTGTGTCTGTCAATCTGTGAGTCCATTTGTTTAAGAACGCCTAAATAATAGCTAGGACCACCACATTTGGTAGGCAGCTTCCTCTTATCCTAATTTAAAGCAAGGTCAGGATTTGGTTATGCCAGGAAAATGGGAAATGCCTGAAATGGGATTGTTTTTCATGATATGGAAAGGGAGGGCATTGTTTTTCATGAAATGGAAAGGGAGGGCGCTTACATCCCTATGCAACTTGCACCTTCTGTTGGGGTCCAGGTGCTTCACTCCACCTCCATGTGCGTCCTGCCAGGAGTTCTCATTCCCCCACCCCCATCTCCTGCATGACTCCTGTGAGGGCCTTGTGCTTCTCTACCTCCCCTTCTCCCTCCTTACCCAGCATGGAACCTGGGTGAATCCCTCCTCCCCCACCTGTGCAGTTCCTACAGGGAGGTCCGGGGCTTACATCTTTCTCCCCACCCATCCTGTGGCTCCTACAGGGGCCTCCCAGAGCCCTCTCCTGGTAGACAGCTGCATGTGCAGCAGGGACCAGGGAGAAGCCCTACAGCAGCACCGGGTGCACAGGCTGCACAGGGACACCTCAACATGCTGCTGACTCCAAAGAGATGCCACCAGCTGACCAACATGGTCCTCGTTGTGGCTTCCCAGGTATGTGGGCCCAGGGCAGCTCCTGTTGCCCCTGGTAGAGCAACACAGTCCAGGGAGCTCCCTCCAATGCCCTGGCAACTCTGTCCTCGCCACTGCGGGCAGCCCTGAGAACCCACTGCTGCCTGGACAGCACTGTCTCTGCTACTACAGTTGGCCTCAGTGAGCTCCCCACTTCCTTAGCTCCCTGCCCTAAGCACCTTCTCATCCTCAATCCCATGTTCTGATTCCTAAACCTACCCCTGCCCTGCCTCCTGCATTCCCTGCACCCTACCTTGAGCCCCATCACCTATACTATTATAAAAGGTGAAGTGTCTGTTACAGAGAACATTCGAGTATACACTGGAAGAGTAGGATATGCTGGTCTGGGTTGGTGGCTGCTGTTACCTCCTCTTCCCCACCCCTCTGCACCAAAGTGGGACATGAGGATGCAGCGGCAAGGTGGGGTGGACAGGTACGGGGCAGAGCAGCGGAAGAACTGGGGGCACTAGCTCAGGGGGCTGAAGGAGGGGTGGGTGGAACATGGCGGGCAGGGACTTACTGCCAGCCCCACCACTTGCAGCATCTCCTGCTTCTCCTTGTCCAGGCCCAATGTGCTGCTCAGAGATGTCATGCTATGGCAGCAGCTGCTTGATGGACCATGAGGCGTTGCTCCCTGCTGTGCTTTGCTGCCCCAGCCGTCGCCAGGGTGCAGGAGCAGAACGGGGCCCTGGCCTGCAAGCTGTCCACTCCAGTGGACACATTTGCATGGTACCGCCACTGTCAGCTCCCCACTGCACCTGCTGACCACTTGCTGAGGAGGCGCTGAGGAGGCGGCCTGTCTGGCAGGTGGGGGCTGCAGGGCAGCAGAGCGTGGCAGGGAGCAGCACCTTGTGGTTCATGGAGCAGCTGCTGCTGCAGCACAATAACTTCTCTGAGCAGCACATTGGGCCTGGGGGCAAAGAAGCGGGAGATGTTGCAAGTAGTGGACTGGCAGTAAGCCTGCCAAGCTCCACCCATCCCTCCCTTGGCCCTCTGAGCTGATGCCCCCTGGTTCTTTCCACCCCCTGTCCTCCCCCGCATCTGCCCCCTGTGCTGCACGCTCTCTGGCCCCACCTCACCATCACATCTTTTGTGTCTGCCACCCTTCAGCCCACTGTACTGCAGCTGTGAGGTGGGGTTCAGCTAGTTTATATAAAACATGTACATTTTTCTTCTAACTTCCATAAAAAACCCAATACATTATTATAGTTAAGGACCTGACCAACTCCGGGTACAAGTGCTAGTATACTTACATTGAAAAGCTATTTGTTGCAGAGACCATCTTTTTATTTAAGGCTACAGTGGAAGCATGGTGGGGCCTTGAGAGGGATTTGTGTTCTGCTGCATCTTCTCCCCCATCTTTCCCTTTCTCCTCCCTCTTCCCCCTCTCTCCCTGCCCCCACAACATACTGTAGGGTTTCAGCTTTGTCCTGGGCTCCAGCAAATCTAATGCTTGGTGGACCTCCTGAAATCTTCTTGGGGCCTCCCTCGTGGCTGTGGATCCCTGGTTGAGAACCATTGTTCTACTGTAATATAAAGTAATGGAAATGCTGCTGATTGCTTTCTTGTTTCTTGTGTTCTTCCCCCTCTCTCCCTGCCCCCACAACATACTGTAGGGTTTCAGCTTTGTCCTGGGCTCCAGCAAATCTAATGCTTGGTGGACCTCCTGAAATCTTCTCGGGGCCTCCCTCGTGGCTGTGGATCCCTGGTTGAGAGCCATTGTTCTACTGTAATATAAAGCAATGGAAATGCTGCTGATTGCTTTCCTGTTTCTTGTGTTGGTTTTTAATCTCATTTTGTTGATTTGTCCTCTTAGCGAGCTCATTGTGCCATCTGCACTGACCGAATTTGGGGCCTGGGGCGTCAGGGATATAAATGTATCAACTGTAAACTTCTTGTTCACAAGAAGTGCCACAAACTTGTCAACATTGAATGTGGCCGCCACACACTGCCGCCGGTAAGTGAGATTGTTCTCAAGTAACTAAACTGAAACACAACTTTATAGCATAGTAGAATGTTAATTAGAACAACAGTCTCTAAACTCTGCAGTCCAAGGATCTTGGTGACAGTTTGACAGGATCCTGATAGCTGCACCCAGCTTGTATATCTGTGTATTAAAATAAACATACTTGTTGCTTGTATCTGTTTCTTAATTGATGCTACTTACCATTGTATAATATTCTACAACTTCAAAATGCTGCTGGGCGGGTAGGAGAAGGTTCCTTACATATCATTGAGTGGGAAAATATATCTCCCCCTTTACAGATAGGAAAATCTGAGGCACAGAAGTTTTTTTGGCTAAGGCCATTGAGCGTGTCAGTTGTGTTTAGTCCATTATATCATGTTAACTAAGAACATAGACACCGACTTCCTATCCTCATTGCACCCTTTCCCCCAAGCTCCTGCACTCCCTGAACGCTGTGAATCAGCTGTTTGCAGAGCACTGCAAGAACAGGAAGGGAGAAGAATTGGTCAGTGGGGCCACCTGCAGATGAGGTGTTGAGGAGAGAAAAACAGTGGGAGGGCACTTGGCTGCTGGTGAGTGCTCAGTCAGCACCCACTAATCTTTTTCTGGAGCACTCAGTTGGTGCCTATGACTAAGAATTGCCTGATAGACATCATCAAAATATTGCAGATCAGTTTGTCTTCACCCTACGGTTACAAAGGAGACAAATACAACCCTATCTTAAGTGTTTAGTAGGTTGCAGTTAGGACAGCCGTGTAACTTGGCTTTGTATGAAAGAGTCTGAGTTTCAGACTCTGTTCAGTCCTAAATATATAGCTAATTATTACAGACTGTAATAGGCAAGTAATGAATCATTACTGTGAACATTTGTAGGAGCCTGGAATTCCTATGGATCAGTCTTCAATGCATCCGGATAACTTAGAACCAGGTAAGATGAATAAATGTGTTTATATTTTTGTAATTTCACATACTTTAAACTGAATATATGTATTTTCAGATTAATGTTAATTGTTAATTTTGACATGTTTTAAATTATTTAACGTGAACAAATAGAATAATTTTATGTAGTATTGTTGTTGTTGCATTGGTCCCAGAATGAGGGCCAAGAGGTGGGTGAGGTAATATCTTTTTTTTGGACCAACTTCTGTTGTTGAAACTAAAGTTTTCAAGCTACACAGAACTTTTCTTCAGATATATGAAAATACTTAGTGTTTGTCTTCACATGCTGCACCACTGCAGCTGCGCCACTGTAGTGCTTCATTGAAGAAGCTACTATGCCTTAGAGAGAGATTCTCCCATCAATACAGTTATTCCATCTCCCTGTGAGGTGGTAGCTGTGTTGACAGGAGAAGTTTCTCTCATCATCATAGCACTGTCTACACATGAGGTTAGGTTGTGTAACTGTTGCACAGGCTTGTTGATTTTTTTTTTTACACTCCTGAGCCAATGTAGCTATACTGAGAGAGGTCTGTAATGTAGACCTGGCCTTAGAATGTTACAGCTAAATACAAGATCAAACTGATAAGTAGATATAAGTAGCATAAGTAGATATGGGTTGCATGTTGTAATAAGCCATGTATCTGTAGTCTTTATTTAATACTGTTTTGTAAAGCCTAGGAAAGTTGTGAATTTAAGTGGTCCAGACAAGTATTTTGAAAGCTTTGTGCATCTTTTCTTCTGGGATGAGGACTGACCGGTTAGGTAGAGTGATCAGTTTGTGAATTGCTCACACTCCTGTGCGTTCATTCGTGATTGTAGTCATTGTCTGGTTCCACCCACATAGTGTTACTGGGGCATTTAGTGCACTGGATGAAGTATACCGTGCAGGGATAGGCATGTGTAGGATCCATGGATCTTCAAAGATGAGTTGGGAATCTATGAAAATACTAGGAATGTAAGTGAGTAGTCGACTATTTAACTACTCGCTCCTCTCCCCTCCCCCCCACACACACTCACACTTTCTGTCTCTGTCTCAGAGGCAGCGGGGGTGCAGAGCTGGTGCTGGGGGGGAGCAGACTTAAAAACCAGTTAACCCCTGCACCATCTCCACACTGCAGCCTCTCCCCCCCCATGCTGCTGCCTCTATCAGAGACAGCAGCCAAAAG